TGCACACCTACAAAGGAAAAGTATGTAATCTCACAAAAACAAAACAATCCAGCTGTGTTCAATGTTTTCAGAGAGAATTGTCAATGGCACACTAAGACAACCAGGGAACCAAATCCAAACATGCTGACTACAACCCATATGGATATGGCTGTGGCCTACACACAATACACTGAGCTAGCTTACCTACTGAAGCAAATTTTAGGTCTGATTCTTCGTTCATACACTGATGCACATGCCAAGTTGCAAACCCTAAATCAGGCCTGCTATGAGATGAGCTTGGTATTGACTGAGAATATGATAAAAATTTCCTATTAAATTCCCATTAATATATACTTCAATGTATACTTTAATTTTGCCATGTATTTTTCTTCTATCTTTTACTTTTTTTCTCCAAGGTATTGAACAAAAAAAAGTGTATTAAAACCGGACTATCTTCCCATATACCCTTCTCTGCATCATGTCACACTTTCACTCTTCACATTTATGTTATAACCTATTTGTTTTTCTAAGGCTGTATTTGTTTGCAATTCAAATCTGAACAGGATACAAATTTTGTACCCAGTTCAGTTTTACATCCGTTTGTTTGTTATTAAGGCTGCATTTGAAAACGACGCAAATAAGTGTGAATGCAAATATGTAGAGTGTAAAATAGTTCATATAAAATTGTAAAGTTGGGTTAGTTTTGTACTGACAAATTTATCTTCTTACCAAACCAACTTTTAGTTGTAATGGATGCAAACATAAATTTCAATAAAGCATATACTTTTTTTTTTAATCAAAAGTCCACTTGAATGCAAATTCACCTCTTTTTATTGATGTACTTTTATATCTTATTATCAATGTAAATATACATTGGAAAATGTGTTTTTTGTCTTTTGTCAATGCATAAATGTAATGTTGCCAAACACAGGCAAAAATGAACCAGAGTACAAATTTACCCTGAACCAGGATTTACACTCCATTTGCATCGTTTCCAAACGCAGTCTAAGTTTGCACTCTTATTTGATTCAGGATTTGCACTTACTGCCTCGTTTGTATCCATTAATAGTGCAAATTTTGCATATGAAAAACTGATGCAAAATTTGTATAGCTTTCTCCTACATTTATTCTCTCTTGTATGAAGTGGAGGTCACATCATCAATTTACTTCCTATCTTACTCCTCCCAAATAAATAACCTTTCTCCCCGCACACCTCATTTCTATTGACCACGTCATTTTACTTCTTACAAGCAAACAAACAAAAACAATATCATGATCTGAAGCAAAACTAAACCAGGATTTACACTCAATTCATTTGCACTTCTATGCATTTTAAATTAGTACAGATGATGAAATTTGCACAACAATCAAGTTGAGCCTAATGCTCAGTTTGGAAAGAGAGAAAATATTAATACATACAGTACAAATACATACAAGATAATACAAACTGAGAAAGGATTATAACATTAGACCAAGTAATGTCAAGCGACAAAGCTCAGCTGAACTTATATTGTTAACATCCTTTACTTGTAATTTCCTTCTCTAACAGGTTTGATTTCACATTATTTTGTACAAGTTGTACATAAACTACCTGGGGTTTCCATTAATAATAAATACCCCCTTCAACTTATCTATTAATTTCAGATACCCTCACTTTGTTAAATAGCATGTGATGATCGCATTATAGATTTAAACTTTCATGATACCCATTTTAATGTTGTCAAAATCAAGCAAATATTTTAAAATGAAAGAGTGGAGGCAAATTTGGTAACCTGCAAATTGAGGCCTACCTACTATACGGTGTATATGTGAAATGTCAAAGATGCTTTGCTTATTTTATTGCGTATATTGGTGTGATGCAGTAAAAAAAAAAAAAGGAAATTAATAAGTTCTATGAAAACATGTAAGAAATAGAGAAGACGTCGCGATCCAAGTGAGTATGTCAATCCATTTATAAATATAAATGGTTTTTCTTTCTTTTCTTTTCTTTTCTTTTTTTACCTTTTTTTTAAAAAAAACCAAACGTAGCCTTAGAGTACACATTTATCAATCTAGTGAAATATCAGAATTTTCCAAATTTAGCTTCAATTAAGACGTTTTTTTTTTGTTTGTATATGTTTAGTTGGTTTCTAATAAGGAATAACATGTTAGATTAGGATTAAGTTGTATATGTTTCTTTCTCTGTGGGATTAAGTTGTTTTCTTTGTGGCTTCTCTGAGCATAAATTGTTTTTGACCTGCGCTAGGGTTTCACTTCTTTTTAGTTTTTTATTTTATTGTTGGAAAGCCCAAGTAGGAGATATATGTAATTTACCATATTACTTTTGTAATTAAGGAGAAGCAAAAAGTAGAAGCTGAATTAACGTGGTCAAATCATGCAGGCTCAATGTTAAAATCTCCAAACAGCCCCGAAAAGACATATTTAAAGGCTTCACTTTTTTAGGAATTAGGTATTAAGACAGTCCTTTGGGGTGAAATTAACCGGTCCGGATTTCCTACTAACTCAATTCTACCATCCTCTCTACTAACCCAATAAAACAATGCCACCTATACCTAAACATTTTTTACAATCCTAACTTTTCCGAATAATTAACAGCTGTTATTGCCCTCCGTTAGAAATCTTTTCCTAAAAAGTTCTTTTTCTTGTGCACGATTTCTTTGTAATTCTTCTCACCCTTTCCTTTCTGGTGTTGCCAGAATTTATTATATTCACCGGACTGGATGACCTCAACCATAAGTTTCACTATACAACCATTGAACTAGAATCAACCAGGATGAATGCACAGGAGGTGATGAGAAAAAGCGAGGAGTATGTAAAGCAGTTGCTTGCTTGCCAAGAAAGAGATGAAGCACAAGATCAGTTGCAGAGACTACTTAACAATGCCTTACCATTAGGTCCAACTGAAATCTGCACTGTTTTTCCATGTGTTCAACTTGAGAGTCCTCGTTTGCAACCAAAGATGGCAAATTCAAGCGTTACTGAGTCCTAATAGTCTCTAAGAAACATTCAATCATCACTCGCATGGTTCCTCCCCTGTTTATTCCTTCATTGAAAACATGAACATTGCTGATTCAAGTAACACAGGCGTGCAACATCATCCATTTGTCCAAGAATGTAACAAGTTAACCCCCATGGATATGGTATCTGCTGAAAATAGTGGTATCGTGTCTAAATGTTCAACAGAGGTGGATCGGGCTTCTCTGGTAATTGATAATCTGGTTAAGGGAAAGCATTTTCCCCAAAAACGGAGACTCTTGCAGGCTGTAATAGAAGCAGGACCACTGCTTCAAACACTTATCGTGGGAGGTCTTCTACCTCAGTGGTGAAATCTATTGGAGAAAATGGGGTCACCGTAACATTGTGACTGTTTAAAAAGTAGTTAACAGTTAGTGACTGTTGACTTTGAATTGTGCCTCTCGATCACACCCGATCGAATTGTGACCGTTGATGAAATCAACGGTCAACAACGCACCAAAACCAATGCCGCCCATCGCTAGCCACACGGGTGCGAGCAAAGTGCGCCTCTAAAGCGCCTCATTGCGTCGCACACACGCGCGCGCATTGCGCGGTATCGAATCCCCATACTCTCCTCTACTAATTCTAAGGAGTGTAAATCAACTCCTATTGAAATACTGAAAACAAAACTTATAATTTTCCAACGTGGGACAAGTTCAAAACTGGGTTTTGTAAGAGAAAAACTGATTTTTCAATCAAGTGTGCAGGTGCAATTTCTCATGTAATTGACCAATCAAACCCATTGGATTTAATCTCTTATGAGATTAAAATCTAACAAAATCCTCCCCCTCTTTAGCCCTTAAATATCCCACATGTTTCCATTAAAGGGTGTGATCCTGAAACAATTAATCGGGCTCCAGATAACAACCCAAATTAAAATGTTCAAACTTCTTTTAGTTCTTCATCGGTGAATATAACAAATTCCGGCAACATCAGAAAGGAGAGGGTGAGAGGAATTACAAAGAAATCGTGCACAAGAAAAAGAATTTTTTACGAAAAGATGTCTAACGGAAGGGCAATAACAATTGTTAACTATTTGCAAAAGTTAGGATTCTAAAGCATGTTTAGGTATAGGTGGCATTGTTTTATTCGGACCGCAAATTAACAAGTTTTAAGCCACGTTCTTGTGTCTTTTGATTTGATAAAAGGGGCTTTGAATGAAAATTTTCCTACTAAAATCATTATCTTCATCACCATCTCCCTCCTCTTCATCATCATCATCATCATCATCGTTATCATCATTACCATTGAATAATAATCTCTCGCCAGCCTAACATAAATCATGGCCATGGATGAATTCACATCTACTGCGACCATAGTCACAGCATTCCCTCAGCAATGGAAATTACAAAGTAGGCCAAGACTTGAATAGAGAGCTTCAAGCATGGACTCCCACCACAAATCCAAGAGACTGCCTTTGTTGGCTGAGTGAAAATTCTGGAGAAAGCTTAATTATGTGCATTCAACACTAAACGAATGGTATAAGGATGAATTGAGTTAAGCATTTACCTACTAAGATAATGACCGGCCTGATATATATAAATGCTCGACCCTAGATCAATTGGCTATGTTTAGTTTAGAAAAATCAAAACCTAAACCAGATCAGGCCGCTGGCCGGCCGGAGTTTTCAGGCCAGGTGATTTTTTTTTCTAAGTTTATATGTTCAGTCTTTACAAACGAGCTACTTTCTTAAATATGGATGTTCTAGACTTCTTTTACGCTGTGATAATTGATTAATTTTCTAAAAGTCTTTCTTTCTATAGCAACAACATGATTTGAGCTAGTCCACAAATTCAAAAATCCAACCAGCCAAAGAAAATTTTTTCTTTTTCAGCCAAAGAAAAAAGAAAAAATAAAATTTTCACAAAGATTTCACTCGAGGGTTCTATTAATCAGCTTCGATTCATTCATTGTTTTTTGCTTAAATCTTAAATTCATTAATTCATTCTATCTGTATAAACTTCCACCTTGAATCCTTCATATTTTTATTAACTGAAGGCCGAAAATTAGAAATTGGGATTTGAATTTTTCATGGAATGCCAAAACATACTTAAAATAATTAATCAAATCTTTCTATATAATTAAACAAATAAACAAATAAGAAACGCAACGTTTCTACGTTCAACGTGCAGCTCCGTATATGTACAATATCCCAAATAACTCACAACAGAAACCTGACACAGTTCGCCGGAAAGTTTGGTCGCCAGTGACCGTGAAACCTCTTAGATAACCATAAGTTGATGGTAACCTAGTGATGGATGGGGAGATAACGGCGATAGCGGAGGGACGTTAAAGATTCCCTGAACGTCCGTCGTTTCCCAAACAGACGCCCAATTGGAAGGTGTTAAAGGGCGAGCTGTCGAAACGCTGGTCGTGGTGTTTTCTGTCTCCGGTGACCTTTCCCTTTTAACTGGCTTCATCTCTACTTGTTCTTTTACTTGTGTCTCTTCAGCTTCGATATCTCGGCGTCTTTTCCGGGAAATGTTTGTCGGTGGGTCAGATGTTTTGCCGGCCTCGAGAGGGAAGTTGAGAATCGCTTTGCTTCCACGCATCTTGAAGGCCGCTCGGTCGTAAGCTCTTGCGGCTTCGATGGCTGTATCGAAGGTTCCCAGCCAAACCCTAGATCCCCGGCGGTTCGGGTCCCGGATTTCGGCTGCGAATTTCCCCCATGGCCGCTGCCTTACGCCTCTGTAATGCCTTCTCTCCTCAGAATCCGATGGTTTCTGGTTCGAAATAGTCACTACCGGTTGAGCCGGTTCGTTGAAGTCGGACCATTCGAATTTCTGTACGGAAGGGAGAGAGATCTTCAGCGACGGACGTCGTTCGTTGAAACTCGAGCTGGAGCTCGAGCTCAGGGATTTCGGGGTGGTCAAGTCGGCGATTTGAGGCTTCGTTTCAAATTGAAAGAAAACGTCTTGGTTATCATCGAATGGAATACGATTAGGGGGAAGCTCCAATACACCGTTATCATCCTTCTCGTTGAGCTTCAGATAGTCAGAGATTTCAATTTCTGGTTCTGGAGCCAGTGGCCCAGACATGGACGGGTAGAAAGCACCGTTAAAAGCTCCATCTTTAAGCTCGGAAGCTGAAACATCAGAGCTTGCAGTGTAGGAGGCGAATGAATCGGATTTAGAGATCAAAACTTGTGGTTTGTCTCCAAAAGTAGCTATTCCATTGATCTTGGGGGTGAGCTCGTTCAAGAAGCTTTCGAAGGAGGCGAAGTCCTCGAGGAGGTGTTGTCTTATGAGATCCAGAGCTGAAGCTTCGTCCGGCGTCGCCATGACGGGAGAGCTCATTATGTTCTTTGAAGCTTTGAAGAAGCGAAGACCAGAGGAGAGATCGATAAGATAAGAAGAAGAAGAAGAATTCGAAATTCGAAATTCGAATTGGGATAGAGAGCCAAGATGATTGAGAGTGGAATTAAGGGAGTGATGGTATATAAAGCGGTGAGGAATTTGTCTGGAGATGGAAATGGCGACTCTTTCATGGGAGGTTCCACGATGGGCGAACGAAGCATCCCACTTACTTTTTATGGTCTTTAGTTTTTCGACAGAGGGATGAAAATTTTACAATTTATTATTTATTCTTCAGGATAAAGATAAAACCTATTTCCAGGGTACTTCCAAAGAACAATCAGTTTGACGAATATGCCCCTTGCATTTGAATACCAAAATCAAATAAGGCTACAAAAATTAAATTATTAAGTTTAATTTATTTCTTGGAAATGATATATTATGAAATAACGTGATTAAGGGATGGTTATTAGTAATTAATTTGTGATTTTCATCTTTGTGTTACTGCCATGCCCGTGGTGGCTCATGGTCTGTGCCTGACTTAGACTGTTAATCAATCCCCCAAATTTTCTCAAAAATATGAATAAATTAAAGCTTTGTTTTGAAGAATTACTCTTGTGAAATTCAACAAAAGCACCTGATGGCTGAACGTTTATTGTGTGCAAATGTGGTTGGATTGCTGATTGCAGCATTCTTCTTCTTCCACATGATTTAAGCAGGGATGACGGTAGGAAACATTGGATTGGGTTGATTTGAGTCAAGTTGTTTAGAAGAAGAATCCTAATTAAGTATGCAAGTATAGGGCAAATAAATTAATTCGAAATAAATCATGGTTTAATCATGTCAAGAATAATATTTTTAATTCCAAAAGAATAAGGGCCCATTTTTTTTTTTTGGATTTTGAGTGGGGAGAAAGTTGGTGAATGAGAATTTTAATTGCTCCTATTGACCAAAAAAACCCAAGTTCTTTTTTCAGATTTATGTGGAATTCATGAAATTTTTATTTTTTAGGGATATCTCGGCGGGTAAGTAACTTTTACATCTGAAAAAAAGTTGACAATATTTTAATGAGACAAAATTACCCCTTATAATAATGATTTTTTATGGCTAAAACAGTTATTGTTTTATTTAAGTGGAAAATAAAAGAACTGGGGTAAACTTACCAGCAAAAAGAGGAGGCTGGGGGATTTTGTATTTTGCTCAATAAAATTGCTTGATTTTTCTACTAATAATTAAAAAGAAAGAGACAAAAAAAATGGGTTGTTAAAAAGCCGTTTTTTTAGCAAAAAAACAGCTCCAGATCATTGATTGAATAATTCAAGCTAGCTAGAAAAATTTGTACGTCTATGCCATCCTCTGGCATCTCAAAACAGTATTCCTGGTTACAGTCACAGGCCCCATATATCATCCTATATGAGCCAAAATCAAAGTATATATATCCTGTATTAATTAAGGCATTGTTTGCAGCCATCCACCCATTACTTTGTGCTCTGATTAGTCTCCATATTATTCTTCTGTTGCATCACTTCTCTCTCAAGATTAAAGAGAGTCTTATACATCCAATTAAGTAAAGAATATTTGATTCATCAATCTGATGAAACAAAACTAATGCATGGGATGATCTATTGATTACGAGGAAGTCAACAAATAAGGTGGGCACCTATGTAAGGTATCAAAAAGAAGACTAAGACCGCATCAAAATGGTTGAGAATGGGATGGGTTCCAAATTAAGCTTCTACCCATGCACCCTTATTACATGGGCTGGTTCACTGGTTTCTTTTATTCTTTCTATTCCTTGACTCATTAATGACTCATCTTCTGCAGCTGACCGGCTCGTTTCCTTCTAATATTTGGTCCAAAAGGTTATGTTTGAAAGTTATTTTCTTCATTTATTTGAATTATTCAAATAGTTGTTTTGTAATTCGTATATATCAAAAGAAATACGTCAAAAATGTTCTTTTATGAAAGGAGAAACACCAAAATCCTTTTAAACCAATAATGGATAAGCAACTATAGGGTGCATTTGATTTGCAATCAGAATTGGAATTAAAATCAAAATGATCTATTCCTATAGTATTTTTGGCTCAGACAGAAATGAGAATCAGAATTATTGAAATTAACTGGAATAGGGTTTCATTCCTGAGGGGTAGGAAAATATTATTCCACCAAAAATGAAAATAGAATTCTGATTCCACCCAACCAAATAATTGGAATTAAAATGATTTATTTCTAAACCCTTATTCCTGTAAATCAAACGGGCCCTTAATTTAAATTGAAATATCAAGATTTTTTCCTAATTAAGCAAGTAATTGGAATGTGTTTGGGCGTCCATTGCTCTCCAAGCCAGCTTGGTCTTATCCACATAAAGTGAGAACAAACTTGCTAGAGTAGCGCTGCCATGCACGCACGTTCCTCTCGCTCAATTATATCCCCCCACCCCACCAACTTGCGCAGCTTGGCCTCATTCATTGCCAACTTAGCTGTCTGTTCTGTTTGTATCTTCAATTCTACTCTACCGACGTACGTCGCCCACGTTCTCTGATTTTTCTTCTAGCGACTGTCTTTGATCAGTCCGGAGAAAAGTAGCAGCTATCCGTTATCAACATACCCTGCCACGTGTCCTACATCAGGAGACAAAAAGACCAAGAACTAACGTTGAAGGGTCCTATAACCCTACCAAATTAACCTACCTGGACCAAAATAACTTCTTTATTTTTTGAAATTTCTAATCCTAATTCCTAACATCACAGTACAGCCAAATACAAGCAGCGAAAGCACATAGTTTCATACTTCCATCTAAGCTAATCTTTTGGCCCACTGAATCTCCATAGCGGGACCCAGTTGATCCATGCCCGGTAACTTGATACTGATCTTTAAGATACGTGACAAGTGGCAAATACAGGGCCCGGACAGCTGTACAGGTTTATGCCTATCATCTTCTCCTAATTGTGAAGATCTCCCATCGTCAGAGACAAAACAGAGTGATTCAATGTTTTATTATTATTTTATATATTTTTTTGTTTGATAATTAAGATTGATCAAATGGATAGCATCATCCAAACGCATAGGTGGGTCCAATATGTAAATTCATTTTTTTATTATTTTCGTGTTTTGTGTTGTATGATACCAAAACAAATTGCATCACGTGGATGCATGGATAAAGTCGTCGCAGATCAAAACCATCCACGGAATATGGAACCTTTGGACTAGTCACGTATTCAATCTTTGACTCAAGGACGTCAACTAACATGTGCTTATTATAAAACTCATATAATTACATTTTTTTTTGTATTTCGTTTGAAAGAATCCCTAAACGATGAAAAACATAGGCGATGCTTGGTATCAATGCCGTTTTATGAGAGAACGGTGCCTTATAGGCATCATAGAAAAAACGGTGCTACAAATAACTTTTTTTTGTTTGGTACCGTTTTTCTAGAAAAAACGTTACTTTAAATCATGTCATAGAAATCGTAAAAGTGTGGTCTGGAACAACACCAAATTTAATGTTTTTTGAAAAAGTGGTGCATTGCTGTCAATGATGCAATTCCATGGCATCATCTTTGATACTGGATAATATAGATCAATGTTGAAAACGTTGCTGTCAGCATTGGTACGGTGGTACCAAACAAAATCAATGCTGTTTTCTCAAAAAAATGCCTATATGATAATATCGGTTCCAAACAAAAAGAAGCACCGTTTTCTAAAACGATGTGTTTACAACTCCACATGCCCAATACCATTTTTTGAAAAACGGTGTAACGTTCCCAACACTGATGCCAAACACCTACATAATTATAATAGTATTAAAGGGGATCCCTACCTTTTCTTTCCTTTTCATATATTTTCTTTCAAACCAAACACAACCTTACTTTTTACTATTTGCATTTTTATCTATAGGAATACAATTTAATTCCAAAATTACTTTAAATAAGTTCTATAAAATACCATATTTGTGCTAATGATAGCTTTTTTCAAATAAAATGATCATTTTGGTTTTCTACCAACTTTGATAGAAGAAAAAAAAAACTTTGGTAGAAGAGATGTTTATGTATCAAACATTGGGGGCTTTTGATAGTTTCCTTTTGCAAACAAAAACATCAAATTAAAAAAATATACCAATCAATATTTCTAACTCAAGACCTACTTAATTGGTGAATGATGAAATACTATGGCATTGGATCATTATTTAATTTTACAAATGTTATCATCTTTCAACAATAACTTCCATTTTAGTCATTTTAAAGTTTGTAAATTTTATTCACGTTAAGGCTCGATTTGGAAAGAGTAAAAATATAAATATGTACAATTCAAATACATACAAAATAATATAAATTATAGGGTTTTACACTGTACATATTTGTAGTTGTAATCCTCCTTATTCCAACAGAGCCCAAGGCACTATTTATTTGCAATGCAAATGTGAACTGGATACAAATTTGTCATTACTTGAAACATCAAATTTGATGCTTCAGCTCTAAACAGCAATGATTGATCAATCCCACATGCATTTCAGTTGAAGTGACTCCCTTATGTAATGTGACAACTCACCTTTTTCATCAATTTCTTGATCAACCTCAAAATATTTCATGAGGAAACTGTAATGGTACCAAATATAATCTAAGTTAATTATGCGGTTGTTTGGCATCGTTTCCAATTCATGGAGCAACGGCGCCACATCAGTGCCACGTAGGAAAAATGGTGTTCCAGGAAACAGTCATCTGTTTGGAATTGTTTTTCCATAGAAAACAGTGATCCAAGTCACGCTTTGAAAATTGGGACGGCATGGTTTGGAGCAATGCCAAATTTGGCATTTCCTGGAGCTGTAGCTCGTTGCTACCAACAGGGCAATGATGTGACAGTAATGTGGCACTGGATAATGGGTAGAAATACAGAAAACATTTCGTAGAGCATTGGTACCAAACAGAAAAAGTTGTTGTTGCTCCAGGAAACGTCCTACATGGCAGCAACGATTCCAAACAAAAAAAAGACACCCGTTTTCTGAGAAAACGATGCTTCCAACCCACGCATCAGAAAACGGTGCTGCAACTGCAGCATCTATGCCAAACATATACTAAATATCAACATGCATGTATAACACATGGCAAATTTGCATATAATACACGCATCACATGTTTATTGACCTTTAAAATCTCTAGATGCAAATTTTTTTGATGGTATGAAAAATATGAAAATAATTTAGGAAAATTTATA